ACGTTTATTTATTACTTTAATACAAGATACTAATTGGATGAATTCCAATTTCTTAGAGACATATTTACTTTGGAATTCTTAAAATATATATACTAATAAACAAATTATTTTTAATATTATATTTATGTGTGTACGGATACATGTGTGTGTGAGGTGAATTAGTTAGAGAATGTGAAGAGTTGGTGGGCGAGGTCCCAAGGAGGAAGCTAGGAGAGTGGCGATCGGAGCGGAAAAGGGGTGGTTGATACCTGGGATGTAGACCACGACTCTACAATCAGGACAGGATTGGGCTACAGTGACAAGGTAACCGTGTATATCATCCGGGTTTTGAATGAAGCACGGAGGGGATTCAGGAAGAATAGAGGAGGATCTTGGAACTGTAAGATCTAGTAGTTTTTCGTCAGAAGAAGGATATGAAGGAAGTGGAGGATCTTCCTGGAGAAAATCTGCGAGGAAAGGAGGAGGAGAAGGAAGAAGATCCAGGAGATCATCTAAGATGGATAAAGGACTTGAAACGGGGGAGTATGAAACATCGAGAGGTGGAGGAATTTCCGGCTGAGTCTGATTTTCGGTCCCCCGGTCTTGGACAGTAAGAGGGGGTATGAGGGCAGTGCGGCGGGTTGGGTGCTCGGTCCCAATGGAACAGCGAGGGGTTGCCCCGTCTGCGGTGGTATGTTCCACTTTTAATAAAAAAAAAAAAAATTTTAATCTGATCGCGATTTTATATCAGACGTGATACTAGTGGAGACTCACTGTTAGCGGCGATTGTCCTGACACTGGAAGCGTCCCTTGATCGGGTGGTACCTTGGCGACTTCGACTTGGTCGGTATAGGCTGAGTAGAATGATGTGGCTGTGTAGTCACTGCACCGACAGTTATGGTACTCGCGAACTAAGGTTCGGACAATCGGTCTAATGCTGCCGACTAACTAGCGACTTCGGGAATTGTCTCGGTCAATCGACTCGGATTTTTACGTCTCGGACGATTGACTTTGACACCCAAAAAACTGCCGATGAACTGCCGCAAGCACCCAAAAATCGGGGTTTTTATACTGATTCCCCCTGATTTGTCGGGCTCTGATGGAGGAATTTGTCGGTAAAACAAAGGGCTAAGTTTTCTAGCCCTAGGATTGGTTAGGAGTTAGGATGCGTCTTGTGGGTGGGAAGGAGTTTGACCGATGTCACCGCTATCTTAAGATTTATGGGCTTATTTGTTTAATGTACGTGAGGGGCTGCATCGAGTAAATGCACATGCACCCTTTCTCGCGAGGCTCGCCGTATGACAGATTTTAATTTTTACGAGAGCAACTTGTGAGAATCATCCGCAATTTGACTGACAGTAGAGTGAATATTTATGACTTTACTGTTTTTCGGTGACAGTAGAGTGTATATTTATTACTTTTTCTAGCCGAGACTTCGAGGAAATGATTCGTGTTCTCACAATTCGTGCACGTACTCTCGTAAATGAATTGTCTTAAAATAATTTTTATGGCGGGATAGCGAGTACTTTTGTTTAGATTTTTGGTAAGACGACAGCCGGACTGTCGATTATTTATTTATGGTCTCGCTATCTCGACACTTGTAGACCTTTCCGAAAGAAAGAATCGTGAGAATCGTCTGGACGTAACAATATGTCTATTAACATAAGTTATGATATCGTAAGTTAACGCTTTGTACTATAATAAATATAACATTTTTATTGCACAAAATTATTGTATTATGTTTTCTTCTCCATATAAATTATTTTACAAAATCAATTGCTATTTTACTTTACCTACAGGAGTAGTAAAATAATTACATAATAAGTTTCTTTGTGCCAAACCTGCACGGATATTTAAACTTTTTAAATTTTCACTTGATAACCATTGTGTATTTCTACATATATATTCATCATTATGTAAGAATTCTTGATAAGTTTTTTCTCCACTTTTTTCTTCTTCTGTCATAATGAAATTGTGCAAACAAACACAAGCTGTTACTATTATATCTGCTGTTTTAGGTTAGGTAACACACATAAAGCTTTATGAACTATTTCAAATTTATTGGCATATATTCCATAAGCACTTTCTATTGATTGTCTAGCGCTTGAAAGTCTGTAGTTAAAGATTTTTTTTATTTGATAACTGTTTGCCAGAATATGGTTTCATTATTCTAGTTGAAAGTGGAAAAGCATCATCTGCTACGAAATATCCATATATCATAATACATATCACAGCCAGGTAATGCAGTTATATCCTTTGAAAAATTAAGATCATTATTTTTCAAACACACACCTATTTCAGAGTCTGCAAAAATACCTCCATAGGCTCCTATGTCCACTAGAGTAAATTTATATCTATAATCATCAGCTACTGCCATTAATACTATACTGTGTTGTTTTTTATAATTATATTAGGAGGTTGCATTAAAAGCCGCTGATCACATTTAGATGGCAGTAGCTGCGTATGCTATGGTCAGAGACATCTGCTACTTATAATAGTAAGAACTTCCAGAATTAGATGAACATTTCAACATGATGTGGTTGCCATCGATTGCTCCAAAACAATTTGGCATGTGCCATCTCTTCCAATAATTAAAAGCAATATGGATTCATTCTTCTTTTGTTGGTGGAGAGAGATATAATGGCTGCAAAATTTTTACAGTAACAAAACATACTTCTTTATTGATCATTCTGACTGTAGATTCTCCTACTCGAAAGTCTAGAGCAGTAGATGATGTTTGATCAGTGTTGCCAACCCTTCGATGATAAAATATGATACAAAGTTGTTGAAATTATGCTATTTTCGTAAAAAATATGCTACATTTTCAAAAAAATTTGGTATGAACAAAAATAAATATTTTCTTAAAATGTATATTATAATATTAAAAGTATTTTAATAAAATTCTGATTTTTTATTAAAATAATAAAAATTGCACATAAGTTGTACATACATAAATATATATTATTATTATTATTGGTCGCGTTCAGCAGACTCAACTGTTGTACAACTGTTGCATGAAAGTCTGCTGAACGCACTCCGCTCAGTAACCGATACTCAGCATGGTTAGTGAGCGGACGCCATTTTTTCCATTAAACTTTTTCTCCGCTACTTCAGTTCAACATATTGTAACGCAATGTGGCGGCGCCCATGCGTAAAATATAATTTGAGGTTAGAAGTCAGACATCAAATGGACTTAGTTCACTGACAATTATAGTTTTGTATTAAATAATTTTTAATAACATTTTCAGATAACTGATAACGGATTACTTATAACTGTAACTGATTTTTTTCTTAGGCACAAATATTGTAGATCTTTTTAATGTTAATACCGTAGAGATGACAATAAATAAAATATTCGGATGGAATCAGTCTCAAAATCTTATTTAATCTGTTGCGCATTATTCAATATTATTTGTCACAATTAATAACACAGAACGTATACATACATAATACCAAAAATAAGGTTATAGCCGTTATAGAAAATATGGTCACGTGATAGCAGTGATCAGACCCGTTTAGCAGACTCAGTCATGATCAGTGAGCGCTCACGGACCACAATAGTTGAGTCTGCTGAACGCGACCATTATTATTGAAATCACTAAGTTAAAATATGAATTTACTTATTAAAAAACATATTATCATAATAAGATAATATCGTAATAAATTTCTTATAAAAATAAAAGAAAATAAAAGGAAAATATCACGATTAGAGATCCTATAATTTGAGAAACTTATTGCGATATATCTAGATAACTATCGAGTCACAAAATTAAAATTAAACTACTAAAAAAATGGCCCGTACACAGAACGCGCTTTCAAAGATGTTAACGCTTTTTGACATCTTTATTTTACCTTTAATGAACGATAAATAATGCCAAAAAGCGCGCTAACATCTTTAAAAGCGTTCTGAATATGGGTCAATAAGTATTACTTGAACTTATAAACAACAATAGAAAAATATACTTAAAGATAATATTATCTTTTGTAGGTATTTATTGTATTTAAATTACGTCGATCATCATCAACTTTATTGCACACGTCTTGTTTATGATGATCGTACATATTTATATTTATTGCATTTATCATTTTTATATCAGATACGAATTTAACACAGGAATTATTTTGCTTTACACACTGAGCTGTAAGCAAGATACCATTAATTGTTTTAGTGGCAAGTCTATTTCGAGATTTGGTTTTTATTAAATTCACTTTACTGAAAATGCGCTCGCATTCGGCATTTGAATGCGGTATGCTGAGCACATTTAAAGCAAAGCTACTAATATTGAAATATTCATGTTCATTTAATATATTTTTAAAATTTAATAATTTCGCCCAAAATTTGTCAGCATTTTTTTCTTTATTAATTTCTTCGGTTAATATATACTTATTGGTAATTTATGCCATTCATCGTCTATTAATTGTTCTAATAATAATTGTTCTTTATTAGAACAATTATTATTATCAATCAATGATACAGTTTCAGGCATCATGCGACCACAACTTCTCATTAATATATTTAGACTTGGCAGTTAATTTCGAAAATCTAAGGATGATATGTTTGATGGATTCAGAGCATGTAGATATTTTAAAACAGGATCGTTAAAATCAAAACGTTTCTGAATCTGTTCACATGAAACAATAATGAATTACCTAACTCGTAATAAAAAATCTTGAATCAGATTTGGATGCTTTCTGACTTCCATGTCATTTAACAAATTCATAACATTTACGCCTAAATATATTGTAGATATAGGAACAAATTCAGTACAATTTGATGGATTAATGTTTACTTAAAGTTTTCGTGTGTACATATACTTTATTCACATAAAAATATCTTTGTATAAGAACGATAATTTATAATACAGATCGGTAATTACTACATTCTTCGATTGAAAATATTTATTAAAATCAATGAACTTTGGCAAGAACCACTGCAAGAAGAAATAATATAAAATTTAATAAATGGGTTTGCTTATTGTGCAGTTTGAGAGGTTCCTTTGCGTGAATCTGAAAAGAGAAGGATGGAGGCAATAATTGAGTCCCAAGTAGAACTTTACGGGCGCATCGCGCGCACACATGAGAACCTGAGGAAGTCAGGCGCCGAAAAACTGACGAAGGTTTTCGTGTCCACCACGCTTGGGCTCCTCGATGCCAAATGGCAGAAATTCGAGGCGCAGCACGAGCGTTTACGGGATAATTATCTCAATGACCTGAAAAAACACGAGTATTATCTGAAGGACTTCATGGGACAGGCAGAAGAAGTATACACTCATCAAAGAGCCATGCTGGTCGAACTCGAGGACTCGATGAGTGGCAAAGCAGCCAAGGAGGAGATGAAGGTAAATATGGACGCGACCACGTCTCCCGGCACCACACTGCCACGTCTCCAAATCCCGCAATTCTCAGGCAAGTACGAGGATTGGCCAGCATATCGAGACCTCTTCTCATCATTGTTCGTGAAGAATTCATACATTTCCGACGTCACAAAGATGCATTATTTGAAGACGATCCTGAAGGGAGACGCGGAATTACTTATAAAAAACTTACCTACAACAGAAAACAACTTCTCGCTTGCTTGGCAATCTCTCACCGATCACTACGAGAATACGAGACTGCTCGTTCGATCTTTCTACGCAACTCTCTTGGCCTTGCCAAAACTGAAATCGGAGTCAGCCACTGATCTGCGTAAGCTCTTTCATTGCGCCAGAAATACAGCAGGAGCCCTCGCCAATATTGGACGACCTATAACGAACGGAGAGGACCTATATGTGTGCCGGATCACAGACTTGCTGGATCCACGAACTCGGGCTCGATGGGAAGAGCACATTGATGATAAGACACTGCCATCGTCGTTCACGGAGCTGCAGGAATTCTTGGAGCGTCGGTTGCTGACGCTAGAAGTCATATCCGGTAGCAAGGTCGATGAAAATCCAGGGAAGGCGAGTGGCTCAAAGGTCGCTCGCGCACATCATGCTCAAAAGGAAAGAGAGCGCTGTGCTTTGTGTCACAAGGATTACTGCTTGATGATGTGCGAGGCCTTTAAGAAGAAAACCTGTGCGGAACGGAAGCAGTTCATTGACAGCGCAAAGCTATGCGTGAATTGTCTTGGAAAGCACAAGGTGAGTGAGTGCGTGACCAAACGCTCATGTACGGTGTGCGGGGAACGACATCACACCACTTTACACGATGCCTGGCGCTCTCCAGTCGAGAAGTCTTCTCCTGCATCTGATCAGGGCAATTCGGGGAGCGAGGTAGCTAAAACGACGCACATGAGTCACCAGACCGCTAGGGGACACGTCGCTGTTCTTCTCGCGACGGCGCGCGTGAATGTCGTGGATCGATCGGGAGAGTTCCATTCGGCTCGCGCTCTCATCGACTAAGTGGCCGAGGGGTCCATCATCTCCGAGGCGTTGGTGCTAAAGCTTCGACTCCCTCGACAGCGTACATCCATCGCAGTGTTTAGCGTTGGAGGACAGCAGACAGCGGTCGCGCGCGGACAGGTATCACTGTCGATTTCTTCGCACAACAAACAGCACAGTGTGAAGGTCTCAGCAATTGTTCTGCCTCGCCTTACACTCTACGCGAGCGTGTCAAGCACTTCAGTGAGAGACTGGCCACATCTTCGAGGACTCGAATTGGCCGACCCGGAGTTTTGCGCATCAGATAGCATCAACATCCTTTTAGGCGCTGATGTTCTCGCGGAAATAATCGGTTCCGGTATCAAGAAGAGAGGACCTTACAAACCTATAACTCAGCAGACGGACCTTGGATAGATCGTGTCAGGAACGGTGGCCGGCGAGGTGTCGTCTCATTTGTCAGTTCGGCTGCACCAATGCACTCTGAGCGATCCACTTTCTACCATGGTGCGAAAATTCTGGGAACAAGAAGAGATAAACGTGACTTTAACACCATTGAGCTCGGAAGAACAGCAGTGTGAAGAACTGTTCACTCACACACACACACACACACACACACGTGCCTTAGACGGGAGGTATACGGTTCGCTTACCTGTCAAAACGCCATTACCGAACTTGTCTGTGACAAGAGAGGCGGCAGTTCGCATGTTACAACGCATGGAGAATCGTTTTGAAAAAGATTCTTCATTTCATGAATTGTACACGAGCTTCATGCAACAATATGAAGAATTGCAACACATGACTCGCATGGGTCACACAGACAACATGCAAAGAGTATGTTATCTACCACATCATGGAGTGCTGAAAGAGTCAAGCGCCACGACGAAACTACGAGTGGTCTTCAACGGCTCATACACCACAGGAGACGGAAGTTCCTTGAATGCTCACTTGCTGGTGGGCTCCAATTTGTTGCCGCAGCATGTCGATGTGTTACTTCGATGGCGCTGGCATAAATACGTCTTCGTGGCCGACATCGAAAAGATGTATCGGCAAATCCTGGTGCACCCTGACGACCGGGATCTCCAGCGAGTGTTGTGGAGGCCTGAGAGAAGCGCAGCGATTGAAGAGTACCAGTTGAACACAGTCACGTATGGATTAGCGTGTGCGCCCTATCTAGCCATGCGTACCTTGCGTCAACTCGCCGAGGATGAGGCTCTTCAGTTTCCCAGAGGCGCCGCTACATTGAAGCAGGACGTGTACGTCGACGACATTCTGTCTGGGGCACCAACTACGACAGATGCTCTAAAGATCCAGGATCAACTGCTGGGGATGTATACGGCGGGTGGCTTTTCTTTGAAAAAATGGGCCGCCAATGATGAATCGTTACTCCTCAACATCCAGGAAGATGACCGCGCTCAACCGGATCCTCGAGGCTGGCAACACAGCGAAGGTCATTCGGCCCTGGGACTGCTATGACATCCTACCAGTGACTGCTTCGCATTCTCCAGCCAGCCGCTGGAACGGAAGATTGTCACGAAGCGTTTGATCGTCTCCCAGGCTGCGCAGCTGTTCGACCCATTGGGGTGGCTGGATCCGATGATAGAGCGAGCGAAGATCTTTATCCAGCACACATGGTTACAGGGGCTTGACTGGGATACTCCGGTGAACGAGCTAGACCACGAGAGGTGGCGAACTTTCCTGGATGAGCTTCCGCAGGTAAGAGACATCAAGGTGACACGCTGGTTAGCGAGTTCCAACGTCGAGGAAACCATGGAGCTGCATGGCTTCGCAGATGCATCTGAACAGGCGTACGGCGCAGTAATTTACCTGCGAACGTGGAGAGTAAACGATTGGCATTCGAGGTTGGTGATCGCCAAGACAAAGGTAGCACCTTTGAAGCAAGTGTCCCTACCTCGATTGAAGTTGTGCGCAGCCACTCTCCTTACGTGCCTGATGGTACACACATGCGGCGTCCTAGGCATTTCGGACAAGCCTACGCACATGTGGACAGATTCCATGGTCACCTTGGGATGGATTAAAGGTCATCCCTCGAGATGGAAGACTTACGTGGCCAACCGAGTGTCGGAGATATAAGCGGCCCTTCCAAGCGCACAGTGGCATCATATTTCAGGACAGAACAATCCAGCAGATTGTGCGTCACGCGGAATGTCGCCAAGCGACCTAGCACAGCATACCTTATGGTGGCAGGGGCCCTCATGGCTCTCAGGTGATATGGTTCGATGGAGAGAAGCGCTTGTGATAGAGCAGGATCTACCAGAGCAGAGGAGCAAGGCTCATGCTATGATGATTCCTCCGACAAAAGAAGAGACAGAGTTCTTGGTAAGATACTCCTCGCTAAACAGGCTGTTGAGAATCTCAGCGTGGTGTCTCCGGTGGCGACCACGGCAAGGTGTCAAGAGATCCGGGGAGTCTGACAGCAGAGGAGGTGGACCTGGCACTCGTGGCATGGATCCAAACAGTGCAGGATGCCACCTACAAGGAAGAAATTCAAGCAGTACGGAAGGACAAACTTCTAATAACAAGAGCTCACTTGTCAAATTGCATCCCTTCATGGATCATCAGCAGGGTATCCTCCGAGTTGGAGGTCGCATCAAGCATTCACTGTTGGCATTTGATGAGAAACATCCTATCCTTCTGCCGAAGAACTCAATACTGACAAGACTCCTAGTTGACTCTTGTCATTCAAGGACGCTACACGGAGGTGTGCAACAAACGCTTGCTCTGCTGAGACAGAGATTCTGGGTACCTGGCGGACGAGTTCTAGTAAAAAGCCACATTCATCGTTGTCGACGATGTATACGATGGAGGGCGGCTACGCCACAGCAAATCATGGGCGATCTTCCGGAACCTCGCGTAACGCCTTCACGCCCGTTTCAACACACAGGGGTGGATTACGCTGGTCCTGTGATGCTACGGACCTTCCGAGATCGAGGTCACAAAGCACACAAGGCCTATATCGCGGTCTTCGTGTGTCTTAGCACCAAGGCCGCTCATCTGGAGATTGTTTCAGACTACACAACGGAAGCCTTCCTGGCCGCTCTGCGTCGATTCATCTCTCGACGAGGAGTGTGCCAGGTGATCTACTCTGACTGCGGTACTAACTTCGTGGGCGCTAACGTCGCTCTTCATAGTATGTTCCAGGCAAGCAGCATGGAGACGCGGCGGGTCAGTCAGGTCATGACAGAGGAACGCATACAGTGGCGGTTCAACCCACCTGCAGCGCCGCACTTTGGAGGACTGTGGGAGGCTGCGGTTAAATCACTCAAGCACCACCTTAGGCACTCGCCAAGTGATTGGAGACACAACACTTACATTTGAGGAAATGGCAACATTCTTATCTCAGGTGGAGGCATGTCTCAATTCGCGGCCACTCTGCTCAATGAGCGACGATCCTGAGGACCTTGCAGCATTGACGCCAGGACACTTCCTTGTAGGATCAGCGCTGCTGGCGGTTCCTGAACTTGCACCAGCAGACGCGCTTGTAAACCTGTCAAGATGGCAAGTCATTCAGAAAATGCGGAGCCATTTCTGGGACCGGTGGGCTAAGGAGTATGTACCTAGACTAGCTTTAAGATCCAAGTGGCACAAGGTCAACGCGAAGCCAAGAGTCGGACAGATGTGCCTTCTAAGGAGCGAGACCACACCACCCACTAAATGGCCACTTGCGCGGATTACGGCTTTTCACCCGGGGCAGGACGGACTCGTGCGAGTCGTCACAGTCAAAACAGCCACATCGGAACTAACGAGGCCTTTGGTGAAGCTGGTTCTGTTTCCGGATGACCAATCTGAACCTGCGTAAGATGAGTTAGCTTCCACAAGTTAATTGTTTCTCGTTCGCGAAAAGCGTCGATATTTAAAAAAAAATCATTAATTATATTTACATTTATATTATATTTAAAAAATCATTAATTATAAAAAATTGTCAATGAAATAAAAAGGCAATTAAGAGTCAATATTATATGTATGATCTAATAAAACATTTAATATATTATAAATTAAAATAAAATAAAATTCACACTATATAGTCCAGTCGTCAGAGATCTGACATCTAAAAATGATCCGACCTGGCTGAAATTTTGTGTGAATGTACATTAGTAGTCCCCAAAAAAGATGCAAAAAAGTTTACCACTCGTACCCCCGGGCTTCGTCAGAAATTGCCCCCTAAATGGGGTAAAAAATGGAAAACATCGATTTCCCAAAAATCTGTGCATGGAAAAAAAAAAATTAGTTAATACGTATGTGTCAATGCTGAAAACCCATCAGCGTCGCGAAGAGGACTACATACGCGGTACATAATTTCACACAATTATAATTAACATTAACATCCTGTTACAATGACTCGAGTAGGCATTGTCACTTTCTATGAAAAAAAAAAGTTTCAAACAAAAAATGTAGCTGACACGATTTTGAACAAAAAAGTTCCTTACCACTTTCTTTGTAAAGTGAACCATTCTCTCAGAAAAAACGATTCAAGTAACGAGTTATTTTGAGTGTCAGTTGCACGCGAGAAATGAAATATTTGAAAAAATGTTTATCAAGTACGCGGTAAATATTCAATGACTTTTGTTCCCAGTGACCTACAGGGACAAATAAAAACGCATTTTAAAGGGGAAGAGTTCAGTTTTCTGATAGAACAATAATATTTTACCACAAATGAAGTAAGATTGTTCAAATCTATTAATGAAGTGAAGGTTTCGAGGTTATTGCCGTTTTTTTGCGATTTTCCATATATTAATAAAATTTATCAAATCTGATGAAAAATATGTATGGAATCTTAATTCTTATAGTATAAACTGCAGTACCTATACTATAAATTTTCGATTTTGATGTTTTGGAAAAAATATGACGAGTTTGAAATATGCCTAAAAATGCGTAATTTAAACCTTCACGTCATTGAAAATGCTTCCACGAAAAAAGTTTTCAGTGGAAATTGAAGCTAAAGGTTTCTACTTTACGAAACAACATTGAAAAATTCGAAAAAATCAAGTTTTAAAATATTATTTTGAAAGAGACGATGAATCACAGCATTTTCTAACTTTTCACAATAACTGCCGTAGTTTTCTTTTCCGAACATATTTCGGGACGTTATTAGCGGGAAAATAAAGATGAGAGTTTCTACTATAAATTGCATATAGTAGGTATACGTAAACGAGTTTTAGGAACTGAAGAACAGCCTTCGAAAACAGGCAAAAATGCGACCAGCTGGTGTGCCGGGACAAAGACCGAGGCGTAGGTATACGTTCAGCCACTGCGCGCGCACCTGCCCCACAGGCGTATGCTTGGCTGCATGACAGTGTGTGTACTACCGGCAGTAGCGCAACGTGACAACGTGCATATAAAACGTGTATTTGTGTACAATAATTGACAGGAATTGTTGAAAACGGTAAGTACGGGTTAATTACGCATTTTCGTGACAATTATTTTATGGGTTTGAAATTTTTTTATGAATGATAGTTAAAATATACTAGAAAACGTATGATATTTTCTATAACTTCGAAACGCGTTGATTTTGAGATTAGATTTGTGTTACTTTCATAGTAATATTCTCGATGTATATAAATTATATAATTTATAATGATATAGGGTGTCCCATTTTAATCGATGAATCCAAATATCTCCTAAAATACGCCAGCTATAAAAAAATGTTTCAAATAAAAATGGAATGGTGTCGAGGGGGACACGTTTTAGTCACATTGTTTTTTTTCTAAGTGGAGGCGCTAAAAAGATATGAAGGTCACCTCCACTTTTTTAAATGGAATTATGTAATTTTTTTTAGATAACATGATTCCTCTAACTATTTTGCATATAAAAGTATTAAGGTAGAGATACCAAAAAACCAATAATTTTCGAGATATTTTACACTTTATTTTGGTACATTTTGACACA